TTTAGAAATTTAAATATCGAATTCATATGAATCAAAAATTTAAATTACATATATAAAATAAAAAATTAAGCAGAATACAACAAAAATATTATCGAATATTTTGATTTTTCTACAACATATTTACAATATTATCTCTTATTTGTGCTATTTGTTCTCTTTGTACCACATCAAGTTCTTTTGTATCAACAAAGGCAGATTCTGAATCTCTGTTGTTCAGTCCTGTATCTGTCATTGTTTTTGCAAAATCTTCGTCTACGTAGTTTGCTATTTTGGTAAAGTTATGTAATCTCATTGTATCCATTATTACTCTATTTTGTACGTTTATTTTGTATCTTGGAAAAGCAGATAGACTTCTCCATCTTTTCTTCCAAATTACAAATGTTCCCTCAATAACAAAATGCAAAGATGCATGATACCGGTTGAATAATTCTTTTTTTTTTCTAGAAGCATGACAAGTGTTGAATTAAGACATATGATATTTCACAACCCCATTTCGTGATGATCTTTATGGGGCTAAAAATCCTTGCTTGTTTGGATATCCTGAATCAACGATACAATATTTATATCGTGGAGACAAGGAAAACTCAAAATCGTTTTGTTGTGCCATTGCCAGAACATCAGTATCATGACAAGATCCTGATTCTTCATTCTATATATATATATATATATATATATATATATATATATATATATATATATATGAATAACATATTCATATCACATATTTCCATGATGTTCAAAACTGAATTATCATGTCGATTCCACTACATTCTCTGTAACTCAGGTTCCAGTTTTACGCATACATAAGTCATATCCATATCTCCCAGGAATCCACTGAAAAGGATAATATCTTCGATCTAAGTGAAGTCTTTTAGGAATTCGCATTAGCTCATGTCTTGTTGGAGTTCTAATATAATCAAATGCCAATAGTTATGTCGCTGTAAGACTTCCATAATTTTTTTTGAATCGTCTCTTGATTTTGGCCAAATGTCAAATCAACATCTCTTTGAACTTCATTATGGTCACATATCTATATAAACATAGCTACATTTTCTTCAATATTTTCATTGAGGGTTAGTTGTAGACCATAATTTGTTTGTAGTATATTACACGGCAGTGACATTCGTAATAACTGAAGACAAGCAGCAGCATCTTCTTGTACTCGTCGCCAAATATTTCTCCATCCTAAACCTTTATCGATTTTCACTGGTCCCTTTTCAAATGACGATGATAGTAAGTCAAGGTTGGATTGATTATTAACTCTGCAAACTTCTCATTTTCCAAATTTTACGTTTTCAATTCTCTCTTCGTAACTTAGGTTGTGTATGCCTTGTGCTTGTAACTAACATATACGAAAAGCCTGAAATTTTAAACATGAAATAATATAAGCCATAAGTAATTATATGGCTTAAAAGACTAAAAATATATCAATATTTCACAACAAAAGCTAGGAAAACACAATTATCAAAAAACTAACCTTCGTTTTCTGAGTAATTTTGGTAACTTTCCTTTATATTTATAGATTTTTCTCATATGTTTAATAAACCTCTTGGTATAGGTGTATGTGAAACATGGGCAGCATTATCATTTGTTGAAGTTCCTACTGCTCCATTATTTTCTTGTTACGTATTCCTCACACTTTCTTCTTCACTTCCAACTAAAACTCCGTATTGACCATTTATTGGATTGGTGTTCGATGGTCCACTTTGTTGAAAGTTTGATGAAATCCTTCACCCTAAAGTATTTGGTGAAAGCTCCCACCCTTAAGAATTTGGCGGTATGTCCCCTGTGAATTATTTGGTGACGTATCCCACTGTGAAATATTAACTTCTTTCGTGAATATGATTAATTCGCTTCTTACATTTTCATTGTTATCTTAATGTTGAGTGAAGTAAACTCACGTTCTCTTTCTTTTCAAATATGATGGAACTGTAAACTGGTTTGCTTGATATATATACATATTTTTTATTATTAAAATAATTAAATATTAATTTGGATATGTTTTTCATTGGACCGCATGGTATGAAGAATGGTCAAAATTTGACGTGAGGATTTTACCAAACCTGTTGTAATTACTATCTCATAAAGCATGTGAGATTTGCTTCATTTTAAAAAAATGTGATTGGTAACCAATAGCGGGTTCATATGTACTTTTTTTTAAAATACGCATTTTATTAATTCACCAATCACTACCTTTAATTTTGTATCGCTTATATTATCAAAACCGCAATTACGATTCGGACCCTTAGATACGAAAAGAGAAAACTATGTCATTATATATATGATTATTATTTTGTAATATAATTTTAAATTTCTTAGGTATGTATAGTAACTACTGTTTTATAAATAAGCAAAACTGAATTAGAGTGCGGTATGGTGTAATTTGCGGTTCATACGGTTTACGGGATAAGTGTCGATTTTTAGAAAAAGTAAGTCGGTTCTATTGAAAAATTATGTAGAATACATTTATTAATACAATCAGAAATTGAATTTGTTTGCTTAATGATATTTTTATAATATTTTTAAATCATATATAGATAAAAATAATATATTATACAGTATATTTTTCATTTGAATTTAGAGATTAGTGATTAGAACATATGGTTAAGTATTTATAGTGTAGATTAAGTCTATACATCGGCAGAAACAAAACAGATGATTCGAATTGGAATGAAACCAAGATAACTAAAACAGAACTGGACCAAAACCTTAACATACTCAAATGGTTCCTATATTATATATTTGAAATAACCAAAATAACCTCGAACCAAAAAGTTACTCGACTATATAAAAATATTAATTATATATAACAATACTAAAGTACCCGATATTTTATCTGAATTATTCAAAATAAACAAACCGGGACAAAATAGGAAAGGATTTATTTTACGTATTATATACGGTGTCTAGTTTTATTATCCTAAACAAACAAAACCTGCAACTACATGGACCAATCTGAACCAAAAATTTTCATGTTACTATACAGATCATTTAGCCTTAAGCCCCAATTACCCGACACCTGAAATACTTAACCTGAACTCAACCGATACCTAAAACTTATTATGGGTCCGAATGGTAACCACCGTTATAAATAGAAAATAAATTTTAATTATACATTAAATACAATATAAGATATATAATTCAAATTTATCAAACCAGTTATAATATTTAAAATAGATAAATAAAATTGAGTTATATAATGATCACTTAAAAAGCAGAAAATAAATATTTAAATAATTATATTTATAGAGAAAAATATAAATGATGCTTAAATAAACATTAGTACTTGTTTCTATTTTTAGCATAACACTTAGGTAGTGATTGGAGACTTAGTGCGGTGCGGAATTTGCAGCGTTATTTAAGAAACCGCAAATATATCACCAATCAGAAAAATGATAAATAAATTCTTGGTATTTTAGAAGCCCAATAATTCCACTCACACCAAAACATGGAAAAGTAGTTCAATTTTACAAAATAACACTTTTGAAATATTATGCACGTAACAACCAGCAGATCGAACAAAAACGCACTTGAGAGTAACACACCTGAATATATATTCTAAATATGGTAAAATGTGTCATTTAGTTTTTCAAGCGTTTGAAAGACTAATTTTATTGTTGACAAAAAGACTTAATTTATCATCATTAGATATTATTTATTGTTGGAAAATCATGTGGATAAATATTTTTATTTTATAAACATTACATTGTTTTATTTTCAAATCTTACTATCTTAACCAAACCATAACAATAATACGTAATTTTGTAACTATAAATTTATTTTTCTTTATAAATATAATGTATGTTTTTGTTTGAATTATTAAAATATTATTATTTAGTTACAATATTATATTTTTGTAAATATAGTATTTGAGTTACTAAATTTGGAAATGTGGCTCGTAACAAAAATGCATTTTTTCAAATTTAAAGAAAAATAAAGAAATTTCAAAAGTTTAAAAGATATTTCACATTTTTAATAAATAATTATGTTTATCTTGGTTTGAGACCACCATGCCGCAGCTCGATCTCGGAAGCGGATTGCACTCAATGGTACACAACGGTCGTGTTGTATGTTTTTAAACACCAGAATTTCTTGTATTGTCACAAACCAATCTAATAATTCTTCTGCTACAGTAGATCCATTGAACACGGTAATCTCCAGCTTAAAGCTAGATTTCCATGATGAATCTTCGTCCTCTTCATCGGACTTGGAATTGTCGGCGTTGCGGTTGCGGGTTTGACATAGTGGAGTGAACGGATTTGCGCCGTTATCTGAGTCGTCGTGGAGGGAGACTTGGTCATTGTGGCGCTGGTGAGGTGAATCATTGCGACGATGGCGAGGTGAGTTGTTGCGGTGATGGCGAGGTGAGTTGTTGCAGTGATGGCGAGGTGAATTGGCGTGTTGTTGTTGAGTTGTGAGAGTTGTGACTGCGGTGATAAGATTGTGAACTAGGGCGTGGATATCATTGACGAACTGTTGTGTTGCCGGGATATCTTCATCAGCTGGCTGTAAACGAGCTGATTTTCGAACCATCGTAGCGGTTGAGAAAGTTTCGGAGCGTAGCAAAGCTCTGATACCAATCTGGCGCAGTGTATGAATGGGTGAACGATCGATCTAAGAGTTTGAGGTTCTTCGAGACCTGTTCTTGAATCGATGAAGAATTTCTTTCGATAGCTTCTTGAGACCAACTTCCTGTTTTGATGAATTGAATCAAATCTAAACAAGGTATAAATCAAAAGCTCTTTCTATTAAATCAAATGTATATTCCAAGAGACCTTAACCTCTTGTTTATATAGCTATACATAAGACACAAACCTTCTTAGAATAGGATCTTAATTTCCTAAATAACTTATAATATCAGAAAAGCCAAAACCAAAAGAAAAAGGAACACATAAAGAAAAATAGAAACATTAGGTTTACGCCATAACCGTATGTGTCCCTGCATCAGAAAGGATGTTTAGCCTGTAAAAAAAGTGGAGCGAAATAGATCCGACCTGACGATGTTCATCGTCACTTACACGGCGGAGCACAATCACCCAGCTCCTACTCATCGTAACCCTCTTGCCGGAAGCACCTGTCAGAAATCATCTGATCATCCGACAACAAAATCTCCGATGACCACCATTTCTACTTATTCATCGTCTTCGGTGACTTCATCCAACGAGTTTGTCTTGACTGTGGAAGATCTAGCTGTCGGAGATCTCAACGGAGACGAGGATTTGCTGTCTTTGTCAGATACGGTGGTGAGCGAGGATTTTTCGAGGGGTGGGAGGATTTTGCCGCCGGTGACAAATTTTTCGGGAATTCTCCGTGGCAAGTTTTGATCTCTCTTGGGTTGTAAACAGTGCCGCCCCAATCAGCGGCGGAATATGATTCGCAGGGGACTAGACGACAGCTTAGGATACTCTTTTAGGAAAGATATAGGATTATGGATTTTTTTTTCTTTTATAGCATCTCCAAAAAGGAACTTTATTTTGAAGTTTCTCAAACTATATATATGTGCTAGTTATATATTTTTATTGATACTTCATATTTTAGTGTAACATTTTATCACTTAATATTGCTGTAATTGTTTTTATATATGTGCTAGTTATTTATAAAAGTTCTATGAAGTTGAACTAGTTATGACAAATATAAGGATCATAGTATAAAATACAAATAGTTTTAAAGTTACGTTTGAAGTTTTTCTTTTGGAGCATAACACCTACAATCTTCATCTATAGAGTTTTGCAAACTCTGAAAAAGTGTCTTTTTGAAGATGCTCTTAAAAAAGGTGTATGATTATGGAACTATTCTCGGATTATGTGAAAAAGAGGCGGTGGGGGAAATGTTCTTTGTTATTTTGTTGAAATATTTCCTAAAGATTTTAGAAAATTGAATATGGAATTATTTGCCAAATAACAAAAAAAATAATAACATAAATTAGAATTGTAAAAAGAAGTTAGAGAAAGATAAGAAAAAAGTAAAAAAAAAAAAAAAAGAGTGGATGTTTGTTAGTATAATTATCGTTAAAAGATTTAATTGGAACTTTTGTTGTTTTTAAATAGGATATTTGTAAGTAGGATCTTTCTTATGGTTAATTAATCGTATTTCCTTATTTCTTAAGTAGGATATTCGTAATATAAAATAATACATTTTTAAATACTTATCCTTAAAAGATTTAATTGGAAATTTTGTCTAGGATATACTCCATTTCTTTGGTCCCTTATTCAATCAATAAAAGGTTAAATTTTGACTAAAAGATTAATTATATTTTAAGTATAATAAATATTACAGTTATTCCATTGTTGAGTATTTTCATATTTTGGGTTTTAAAATTATAGTAAGAGATTCAACACTAATAACTTTAGAAAATAATTACTTTAGCAGTTAGTACTTGTATATGCAGTTTAATTAAGTTAGTCTTGCTATTAAAAGAGCCTGACACTATCACTCTATATTTATAACAAAATTTAGGTTCACTCTCTAGGGTGAACTTTTAAATTAACTTCATCTCTAATAACAACTCATTGTGTCATATATATTAATAAATAAAATTATTAAATATTTTTAACAAAAATAGCTTAAAATAAGATAACGTCAATTTTAACAATGCTAACACCGCCAGCTAAACCCTAAACCAAAATCTATACTCTAAACCCAAACTTTATAACCTAAAACCCAAACCTAGATCCTAAATTCGAACCTTACACCATAAATCTAAATCATATACCCCAAAACCTAAATCCAATACCCTAACCCCAAATTCTATACCCCAAACTCAAAACCTAGACCTTAAATTCTAAATCCTAAACTTTAGACCCTAAATCCTAAACCCAAACTTTAAACCTTGAATTCAAACCTTTTAATCTAAATCCAAGCCCTAGAGCATAAATCATGAACCCAAACCGTAAATTCTAAATTCAAACCTTAAATCCTTACCTTAAACTCTAAAGGAACAATATCAATATTAATCCAAACATTTAGGATATAAGATTAGGGTTTAAGATTTACAATTTGGATTTAAATCCAATGTATATGGTCTGGCTTTATGGTATAGGATTTAAATTCAGGATCTAAGATTTGGGTTTAGGATTTAAGATTTAAGGTTTAGGGTTTAGAGTTTAGGGTCTAGGATTTGGATTTAGGGTATAGAGTTTTGGTTTATAGTCTAGGATTTAGTATTAGGGTATAGTGTTTAGATTTAGGGTATACGCTTCGAGTTTAGGGTCTAGGTTTGGGTTTTAGGATATAGGGTTTGGGTTTAAGGTTTAGAGTTTAGATAGGGTTTAGGGTTACGGTTTGGATTTAGAGTTTAGTTGGCGGTTTTAGCATTGTTAAAATTGATATTATCTTTTTTTTAAAACTATTTTAATCTTTTTAAAAATATTTAATAATTTTTGTTCATTAATGTAAGTGCATAATGAGTAGTTATTAGAGGTGAGGTGAATTTGAAGGTTCGCCTAGGGGTGAATCTTACTTTTGTTCTTATATTTAATAGGTTATGTTTTTATGATTAACAAGTTTAGAAAAAAAAGGTTAAAGTTTCATTTATTGCTAAACATGACACATGATACATTTTGGGTAAGGTATTGGCTTTCGCCTTCAACAACTTTTTTTAGTCTAGATTGAACCTTGGGCCGATATTCAAGCCCACTATTATAAATACAACACTGATAATTAAAGACTAGTGGGAGTGCCAGAGTGGTAGTGGATGAGATAGGGCTGGACAAATATCTGAATTCGAAGAATCGACCCGAAGTCGATCCAAAAGTCAGGATTCTGAACCCGATCGGACTCGGGGTAAATAATCGAATGGATCTTCAATTACTATATCTGAAGAACGGATGTTGAACTCGAACCAAACCGAGAACCGAATGAGTACTCGAAGATATTCGAAATGTAAATATATATCTAAAATTATTAGTAAAATTTTTACTTATAATTAGTTGAATAATTTGAATTTAAATTATAAATTTAATATATTAGTTATTTTGAATACTTTTATATATTTTCTGATTAAATTAAGACCGTTTGGATAAAAATACTCAAACAAGTTTGTGTTAAATGAGTATTTTTGGTTATTTTTGGTACGTTTCAGTAGTTTGAATATAAAATACCTGAATCGAATCGGGTAATATGGTTACTTTGGGTATAAATATCCAAACCCGTTTCAGATACATTGGTTATTCGGTTATTTTTCAGGTTCCTAAACATCAGAACCGAACCCACTCGGACCCGCGACTGGAACCTGATCCAAAATTTCGTAATATTCGAATGGGTCCTAATTTCAAAATCCAAAAAACCTGATACCTGAAAGAACCGATCCGTATCAAGACAGTATATGAATGCCCATGCCTAGGATGAGATAGACGCTCAAATCTCGAAAGCTGATCGGTCCACATCTTATTCGCTGCACTGATCCTCGGTCTCTGTTTAGTGCCATTGTATACTAAAAAATGCGGTTTAATTTCAAAATTCAATACAAAATTTATTAATTTTACATGTGATATAACTATTTATATTTTCCAAATGATTTTTATTAGTTGAGGGATTAGATGGATAGTTAACAATATTTTTTTAAGGCTTGTAATTTAACTAAAACTAGGTGTTTTGCCCGCACATGCGGACTTAATTTTCTTACGAATATTTATTATTTTTTGTTTTATTAATTCAAAATAATATTATAAGTTATTTGTTATACTTTTAAAAAACCTAAATAATATTATAAGTTAACTTTTATACTTTTAAAAAACCTAAATCAAACATTAAAATATTTTATATGAATATATATTTAGATATGGATAATTCTTATCATTATTATTAAAATCATTTATCTAATCAAATAAGTTTAATTATCTTTAAATAAATTTAAAGAAACATCAAAATAAATGATTATTTGCATCCAAAAAATTCAACCTAAAACATTAAACTTTTTTACATGATAAAGTTATTTACAAACTAATTTTTCATTCGAAACTTTGAAAAATTTAAAGTCTATTTCATTTCTTCTTAATTGATAAAAATTTTTGAAAAATTGAATCAATAAATTTACATTCAAAAATTGATCTTACAGAAATAATAACATTAGTTTAGATAATAATATAATATATTTGAATTTATTTTTGTCAACCACGTATTTTCTTAAAGTTTAACTATATAAAATATAAATATAAATTTAATTTAACGTGTAAGTTCAGAGACGAAAAATAACTTCACAGATATATATCATTATATTATATTATTATATTCTTTTAATTTGAAACAATTACGTATTATAATTTTTTAATTTTCTTTTCTGAATTATATACAATTAAAAATTTTAATTTATGAATATTTATTTATGTGTTTTCAGTTTTTGAATTTTTTAATTAAAATATATTTTCCGGATAACAACACAATATCTATATAGGAATCATCTTTTTATTTTTAAAAATATATTTAGATTATGGATAATTCTTATCATTATTATTAATTTAAATCTTTATCTAATCAAATAAGTATTAAATTTGTTTTTATTTTGACTGATTTATATATTTTATTCATTAAGGGTATAAACGATATTAACCACTCTAACTTTCAACGTGAGAGCTCCATTGCGAAAAATCATTTCCCAAATAATAGTATAGATACTTTTACAATCCCTTATGTATTAAAATAGGAGCATTTTAAAAAATAAACCTTGCCTTCATGTGTGATTTACAAGAGTGCCATTTACACGTGGCAGCTCCACAATCACTCTCACCCATTTTAATTAAAAGCCATTAGTTTACTAGATTAATTACTACTTTTGCCATTGATCAAAACATTACATATATTTTCTGTACACAATTGTAATGACCCACAAATATATTTTGATGAATATTGACTTCCTCATCTATAGGGAAATACCTCACCATTAAGCCATATTTTGATATATTGATCGGATAGTATGATATACACATATCATATTGTTAACCATAGTTCTACTATTGACTTTCATTATTTGAAATACGTATTTACGAAAATAATAAAAACAAAATTTTAATATACTATTAATTTTCACCTAGACTAATTCCAATATTCAATCTTTGTCTAAACTTATTATATAATGTTTAGAAACGAAAATGTGTTTTCTATGATATTTAAATCACACATATAGTTTTTTACTTTAATATTGAAAAAACCACATCTGTTAAGAAGATTTTATTCAAATTAATATGTTTTGCTCAGAAGATTTTATTTAAACCATATCTTTAGAAGCGAAAATGAGTTGCATATTACCATATGTAATTATAGCATTTATTCCCGCGCCCTGAACTTTCCAAAAATCGATCATATAATATCAATTAGCATTACTTGCGGG